CTCCACAACTAGACTGAAGAACAAAAGGACAGCAACTTGTCTGTTCCCCTTCCCCAATTCCCCAGCGCTGTTCCCATCCCCCAATTCCCCAATAAAAACCTTTGAAAAATAAAAAATAAAAAATAATAAAAACCATTGGACTAAATAGCCCTGAGGTCCCTTCCGGCTCTAACACTGGGATTCAAAATTCCAGACTGAACTGAGGGGCTGATTGGCACCAATGGGCTAAGAACTCTTTCCTCAGGGTGTCACCGTGGCATTCCTTCAGAGGCCTGTGCACCAAGTGCTGTGTTATGGAGATTTCCAATCCATGCCCCGGAGCCCTGGGTTTCCTGGTGGGAGGGATCCTCAGGGGTCCCACAAATACTTTATTCAATTCTTATGAATGGGGAAAATAATCCAAGATTGCAATCTTCATTTTTAAAAGGCTAAGAGTACCTAGACACCCCATTTTTCTCAGTGGACAGTTTACAATAACAAATGCTATAGATGGGAGCTTTAGGTTACATGTATACTAATAAAATTCTGTTTTTATTTGTTTTAGCTATTAGGGTTCCATGTAAGAGGTTATTTGAGGAAAAGGTCCTGCTGTTAAAAATAATTTTCAGAAACACTGATCTGACTAATTTGAGGAAATCTCAGCCACCATAAATGGGAAGTGATTTGAGGAAAAGGAAGGAGATGTGAATATGCATTGAGTTTCTTCTGTGGATCAAGTACTAGACTAGATCTTTCATATGTGTATTTCTTTAATCTTCACAGTATCTCTGAGATAGGTATTTTACAGATGAGGAAACGGAAGCTCAGAGAGGTTAGGTGACTGCCTCAAGTTTGCATAGCCAAGTGGCAAAGCCAGGATTTAAACTCACTTCTGACTGACACTAGAGCATCCCTTTTTCCAATACCCTATGACAAGGCAATAAAACAAGACTTGCTTTCCTTTGTGGTTCAAAAACTGGTTCAGAAGCCAGTCCCACTAGAGAATTTCTCAAATGTCTTGTCCGGCTTTTCTGGGAAAGTACATTGGGTGGCCATCTTGAAGAACAACCCTTAATGGATATGGATGCTCTGTATGTTTTTATTAAAAAGTCTCATCATACCTCATATTTTAGGGCAAATCACACAGTTCTCTGAATTTGGCCAACCCCCAAGTTGTCTGGGGTGGGCTGTGGAGGGTATATTTCTGGCACTTAAAACATATTCCCCCATGGGCTGAGTAATCCTGGTGGCTCCTCCCTTCTGTCCCCAGATGTTTGGTCCTGGTCACACCTGGGCGCACCACAGGGTAGGTGTGTATGGGGGGGACCCAAGTGGGACACTGAGTGAGGAACAGGGAGGAGTGGTTCCTTACCTAAGTTGGGGTCATATTCACTGATAAACCTCCTGGTTAGAAACTTCACGGTCAGGGCTGCAAGAAACAGAAAGAAGTTGGCTCAGTCTCCCCTGCTGTGTCTGGCTGCTGACCCCTGCAGGCTGCCTCTTTCATTTTAGGGAGGACTTATCTAGCCTCTGTGACCCCTGGCTGACACCAAGCATGAGTCTCTGGGGCAATGAGGCTGGAAGCTGAGGAGGTGATTTGAGAGGCTCAGAAAAAAACAGAAATATGGGGAACTGTGTCCCTTCAGTTGCATCCTGTGATTTTTTTTTTTTCATGGCAACTCAAGCAATGCGAGGCAAGCCTAAGGGATGTCTGCGAAGACCCAAACTAAAGGGTTAGGACCCATGCAACCAGTTACCCAGGAGTCAGCGCCAACTGAAGGGAGCATCCCCAACTCTGGACAAGTCCTGAAGATGCTAAATTGTGGTGCATTTATTCCAGTTTTGGCTATAAGCCAAAGGGAGAGTAAGAGCCGAGTTGATCAGTGGGTGATCCCTGGGGGCAGTATAAACCCTTGAGGACCTGGGATTGCCAGGTGACATATGTGTCCCAAGTAAATACACTCTGCCTCAAATCTTGGTTCTAGGGCCTCCACACTCATCATGGTGCCCCGCAGAATGTAAAACTCTAGAATGAAGCTATCCCCAGGTGCAATGCATTAACAGGACTCTGATTTTGTTCAGAACTTAACCACATAAAGCCAAGGGCCAGCCAACTATTATATAGGGCTCTTAAAAAGTAATGTGATATTTTGAAGAAAATCCTTAAAATTCTTTCCCAGGATTCATAACAGTGTTGTTTTGCAAAGTAATACCCAGGGAATACATACTTTGAAATTCCTTCATTCATGTAGTCACAGGCTATATACTACTGTACCAGTGACAGAGCTCTGGATAACAATTTGATTTTCAAAGGGAAGAGGGCAAAACTATTCTGTAGGAAAATGTGATTCAGAGTTCGCTCTCTGAGCCAGAGGGCAGGCTTCAAAAGTGGAGAGGAGGTCCCCAGCTAGTCTCAAAGAACACTGTGGGGAAGGAAACCCACAGCTAACTGAACTCATATTGGCCATTCACCAATGGCTGTAACAGGAAAGCAGACAGTGGAGGACCCTCCCTCTGTCCTCCCACCTTCAGCTGCCTGGGACTGTGAGTGGCAGGGGGAGGGCTGGACCCTTTTTCTGGGTCTGAGCCTATGGTGACACCCCTACTCCCACCCCCCTTGGCTCCAGCTGGGTGAGAGCTGCCAGGAGTGGTGAAAGCAGAGTTCAATGTTGATAGAAATGATCTCAATGGACGCCCAAGATCTTGGTTCATTAAGGACAAGTCCCAGGCACCTGGGACCATAGTCCAATCTGTTTTCAGAAAGTCAAGAGAGGGGTCTGGTTTGAAACAAATACATTTGATAAGAATGCATGCTTTATTCCAGAATCCCAGGGAATTGGGGAGGGGAGTGTGGCATGGGGAGTGTGGCCTGGGAATCCCAATAGCTAGTGACTTCCACCAACTCCTTTGAGGGGTCCATGGCTCCTCCATCCCAGGCTAAATCAGGGAGTATAGCACAACTCACAGGGGCCCTGGGCTGGGGATCCGTGCCTAACACGTCCTTTTGGTGCCAATCACCGGAGCTGACTGCTGAACCCAGGGAGAAAAGATACGGGGTGGGGGGCCCACAAGGGAAGAGACCAGCAAAGGACTGGGAAACAGAGATAGACAAAAGGGGGAGAGAGCTGGGGTCACAGACACGTACATAGAAACACAGTAGGGAGACACAGAGGGCGAGCCATGCAAGGAACAGAAAACAGATAAGAGATGGAGATGAGAACAAAGCAGAGAGAGCGCCAAGCAACAGAGGAAACTGAGGCAATGAAGAAAATCTGTTTCGCCCAACCCACCTGGGAGCAGGAGGCTCCCAAAGCCAGTGCAAGAGCCAGCCCGCAAGTACACAACTCCCAGTTCCCTCCACTCGCTCCCCGGTCCCGGCCTAGCCCCTTCCCTTCCCGGCACCCGCCCCACTCACCAGACTTGCCCGCCCCGCGGCGCCCTAGGATTGCCAGGTTGACCTCGAGGGGCGCGCTCTGCGGCCCGCTGCCGGCGCGGGGTTTCCCAAACACCGAGGACATGGCGACGTTGAAGAGGGGGACAAGGGGCCTTGGCCGAAGGGCCCCGAGCAGCGTGCCCGCCCGTCGGGGCCCTCGGGAACGAGTCACGGGCTCCCCTGGCACTCGCGACCCGGCCCAGTCAGTGTCCGCGCCCCGGACCCGGTGCTGAGCGGGCTGTGTTCCCGCGGCTCCAGTGGGGGGTGGGAGGAGGGGCCGGTGGAGCCCGGCGGGCGGGGCCGCCCCGAGCGCCGCCAAACTCCTTGTAAGGACTGCGGGAGCCCCCCGCGGGTCTCACCCCGCTCGCGACGCGGGGGATGGTGCTCAGCGGGCCGCGCACTCCACCGTGCTTGGCCTCGAGGGCCGGGGCGCCGGCACTGTCCGGAGCACCTCCAGACCCGGCAGGGAAGGACAAGGACTGAAAAGAGGGAGGACGGGGCTAAAGAGAGAGGGAGGATGTTTCCAGCCTTGTCTAAAGCTCCAGTCAATCTCTTCCCACCAGCTAGATAACCCATCCCTCCCTTTGTTCTACCCTCCGGGAACCCTGTGAGGTTCAACACGCAGCCTTGCCCTTTTTCTAGGTCACAGCCAGCGCAGCACACAATTTCCCAGACTACACATTACCTTGCCTTTCTGTGTGGGAACTCTCAGGCAACACTGCAGCACCCAGGCAGACAGAACCCAGGCTCCTGTTGAGGGGCGGGGCGAGGGGGGATGAGACCTTCTTACTAATATTCAGGGCCAATATGGTCCAGCTTTAAGAAACCTACCCCATTCTAGATTAGTTTGTTCCCTGATCAGAGCTAATGAATTGCATGTTTATGGCCTAGTGTGTAAAGAGGATATTTTATTTGTTTTAAAACCTGGCACTCCCTCTTGCCTAGGATTCTAGGATTGGTGGATCACCCTGGCAGGGGTCACCTATCATTCCTCTTGGACCCGGGGTAAATATGGCCATGCTGGAGACTGGGCTAAGGGCCCACAGGGGGACTCTGGACACTTAAGATCTAGTGCAATCTCCTTCACTGGGTGACCTTGGGCAAGTCACCTCACTTCTTTGGGCTTTTTTCTCATGGAAAATAAATCCAAAATTCCATGCTGTGTTTCAGGCCTAATAGTGACAGAATCAGCCCTGGGCTTCAGGCCTGAGTACTTTCTAGAATGCCGTGGGACCTCTCTTTTGGGATACATTGCAGGCTAGAGTGGGGAAGGGCATGGGAGTCTCAGAGACCTCTCACTGCCGCCCTTCTCCCTCCAACTCTGGCATCACCCCCACCCCAGCTAATCTACCCACCCATGCACAAGAGAAACCATGGAAACCCAGATCAGCAGGCAGAGGGTAGGGGATCAGAGTCCGATGATAATAACTTCTCAACCAAGAAGAACAAGACAGGAATACTGACTCTGCCTAATTGTGTTTCTGGGAGATCATGCTAAACCAGTTGTGTAATTAAGACTCTAAGGTGTTGGAAGGAATCTGTTTAGATTACACCTTCAGGCCAGAATCACTCACAGAGCTAATGGCCAAGAGTTTTCCTTTGAAAAGTAGGAACCAAGTTCCAGCCACATCCCTGGGCTGGTTCCAGTCCTGTGAGGACAGACTGGTTCTGGAGGAGGTCTGTGGAAAGAGAAACCAGTCTCACTGGAGGGCTGCCAGAGAGAGGGCAAGCTGTGGACCCCCACAGGCCCAACTAGGTGTACACTTGGGTTCTGCTACTTCCATGCTTATGTGATGCTGGAGGAGTTACTTTTCTTGTCTTTAAAACTCAGACCAACCAGTAGATGGGATTTACAAGGAGGCAGGTTCTAGCTCAGTGTGAGGGTGAGTTCTAACCATCTGAACTGTCCATGGTTAGAAGGGATTGTCTTTACAGGAAGTCAGCCCCCTGACATTGAAGGCAACCAAGGGGTGACCACTTCTAGGAGGTGTTGTAGAGGAGACTCCATCATGACTTAAAGGATGGGATGAGATGGCCCCTAATTCCCTTCCAGTTGAGAGATTATATCTAAAGTGGTTGCCACCTGGTTACTTAGGCCGTCAGCTATGACTGCTAAGTACCCAGTGTCTGCCCCTCCTCTGAGGCTTGGGAGGAAACCAACCAGTCCCTTTCCTATCTCCTCATCTGTGGGCTGCTTGTCCAGCACCCAGAAGTGCCCGTTGTGGACTGCAGAGGCTTTTGGAATCAGTTACTTATTGTCAGACCCTGGAATTAGCTACTTTTCCCTGCTGGGCCTCAGTTCCTCACCTTTAAAATAGGGATAATATTAAGGATTAGGTATCATGAAACTGTCCCATCCAGAGCTTCGCCCATGGCCCAAAAAAGCAAATGATAGTTCCCTCCACGCCGCCTGGATGTGAATAGCACATGTTTCTCACCCACCTACCAAGAAGTTAAAACTGTTTAGTGACCAGAGGTTTGGACACTTCAGGTCAAGAAGAGAGGTTATTCTTCTAGGATAGGTAGCCCAACCCTCCTTACCACCACCACCCCCTCTTCGAGGCTCTTACAGGAGGCCCTCAAGTACTCAAACTGCGGAGGATGTGGCATGCAGCAGGTGCTCAATAGATGTCTCTGGAGTGGATGAGTATGAGTGGGGCATGAACAGGTCTAGAGGTAGGGCCTATGAGGATTTCTGCATGCCAGGTCCTACCCTTGCCACCCCACACCCCACCCCCAGGAGCCATTCACATAAAGCTAAGGTTTTGAGACCCTGCTGTGATGTCACTGCATTCTCTGGAGGCACAATATGACAACTTCTCCTGTAGTTAATGATAAATTCAGATGTCAAAGCTGAACAGAAACTCAGAAGTCAAACCCAAGCTCCATTTTACAGATGAAGAACCGAGGCCCGGAGAGGTTGGGTAGCTTTTGCTACCATGGTCGTGCCAGCATCAGAGCCCAGCAGAAATCCTGACTCATAATCCAGTGCTCTTCTTTCTTCAGGTCCAGGCAAGCTCCTCACTACCCCATGTGCAGAAATAACCACCATGGGTGGCAAAGACCAGAGGTTCCCCATCAGGCTGGGGTGGGGGTGGGGGCTCTCAGGGCAAGTGCTATATCTCCTCCATCAGGCAGGAGACTCCTATTTAGGTTAGGGTCCAGGGGGTCCACTTAACAGACCCCTTACTGTGGGCCTATCATTGTAGATAGAGACTAAAAAGGCTGCGTGTGTGCTGTAGAAGGGCTCAGAGGGCCACATAGCCCGTTTCTTTGCCCCCACCTCCAACCTCGCACAGCTAAGGGGTGCAAAGCGGAGAGGGAGGTTGGTGCGGGGTCGGGCAGGGCCTGGGAACTCTGTGGGCTGCCCACAGCCAGGATAGTTCCTTGTCCTCTCCAAGTCCCAGAGGGACGCTCACTGTTTAGGAGGAGGAAACTTACCAGCTGCAGGCAACACCCCACTGGGGCCTTGGGGTGGAGCTAAAGGCCTGATCCTTAGCCCAGCCTCAGAACCACGACCCCCACCTTGGATGACCCCCTCCTTACTGCCTGGCTGCTGACGGTGAGTGCTGGGTGTGTGGACCAGTGTCCTAACCCACTCAAGCCAGGGCTAGACTTGGAAAAAACTGAGACTGGAAGCAAGCTTCAGCTAGGAGGGATTTGCTCTCCTCTCCCCTCCTGCTCTCGGGAGAGGTCCAGGCAGTGCAGCTCCATCTGGTTGTGTTTGCTAGTTACTAGGTGCCTGATACAGGCCATTTGAGAGGGAACTGTGGCCCTTTGGGTGTCAGTCCGTCCCCAACCCCGCCCCTAGCTTGAGCCTGGAGACAGCTGTATTTCTACTCTGACAAGGCTCATGCAGGTGAGGAGAGGAAGCTGAGCTGGGACCTGGGATCAGTGGACAGGGTTCTATCCAGTCCCACATCTTGGTTCATAAGCAAGGAAAAACCCATCCCATCTCTAGTCCTCCCTTTCCTTCTCTGTGAAATAGGAATAGTCAGACACCCTCTTCCTACCTGAGGCCACTAGAAAGGACAGTGAGGACTAGGCACTGCAGAGCTTCCTTTCCTCAAAAAGGGAGATTGTCAGGCCTGCTCCCTGTCAGTCAATGTCTGGGCTCAGGGAAGGAGAGACGCTGGCAGGGGGCCTGGGAGAGTAGTCATGGGGACTCTTGCCCACCCCCTCCATCTCCTCCTCCTCTTCCTGTCTGGTCCCTGGGGCAGAGTGTCCAGAATATTTCTGGCTGCCTCCTCCAGGCCTTGGCTTCCCAGGCTCACACAAGTGGTCCCCACATCCCAGCCCTGCTTTGATGGAGTGAACTGGATGGGAGTTCCCTGGCCGGGGAGGCACATTTGTGTTGGGCCTGCAGATTCATACGTGAGGGTCTGTGCATGCTTGTGTCCTAGAGGGGAGGGAGGTTTCCCTGCCCCCTCCTACACCAGCTTTGTCATTATGAGCCTCTCCATCCTCCTGAAGAAGCCCTGCAGTTGAACATCTCCAGGATGGCAGATGCCATCCTACAAAGGTCTGGGCCTCAGTTTCTCCACCTGTAGAATGAGGTGGTAGGAGAAGATAATCACTAAGCTCCCTTCCACTAGACATTTTGGGAACCTGAATCTTAGCTGGTCATCCCAGGAAAGCTCTGTGCAGTGGGGAAAGTGCTCCAAGGTTGGGCAGCAGGAGGCCTGGGGCTGTCTGCCCCAAGCTAAATGACCCTGGGCAATTCCCTTTCTAATCTTCCACTGTAAATGAAGTGGTTGAAACGTATAAGCCTGAACTTCCTTCCAATTGTGACCTCCTGGCATGAAGTAACTGCCCAGCATTTGTAGCACACAGAGTCAGCAGGCACAGTGGTTAGAGGGCACATATTCTAGAGTCAGACTGGCTGCATGCCAGTTCTCACTCTGCCACTTTCTGGCCATGTGACCTTGAGCATGTGACTAAACCTCTTGTTGCTTCGGTCTCCTAATCTATGAACACATGGGGCCATTAATAATATCTAACTCATAGTGTTGTTATAGCAATAAATGGATACTATCTATTAAATGAAGGAAAATAATAGTAGTTACTCATAGGATTGCTGCAAGGATTATAGGAATTAAAGTGCTTACAAGTGTCTGACACATAGTGCAATTTAAGTGTCAACTATTATTATTTCAAGAAGCCCTTTTCCTTTCCACACACAAATATCTGATCAGCAGCCCCATTTTCCTTTTCCTAAAGTCTGGAGACACAGCAATGAAGGAGTCAATGGGGAACAAACATCAGCTTCACATCCCATCCCAAATCAGGAAGTGCTTCCACATTCAGGGGTTTATTGGACACTTACCTGCTACCCTCCCATTTTTACAGAGAAGGAAATCCAGGCTCAAAAAGAAATTAGACCAGTCCACAGTCAGGGGAAGAGGCCCAGGCCAAATTAGAACTCTGTTTCTGACCCCCCAGCCTGGCTCACTCTATTTGTTCCAACTCTGCCTTCTCCCTCCAATGCCCAAGTACTCCTTTCCCCCACTAGCCGATGGGGTGGGCTAGGTATGAATCCTGTCCTTGGTTCTTCCCAATTGAATAACCCTGGACAAGTCATGTAAATTCTGAGCCTCATTCTAAACACTTTACACTGTCCCAATACAGGTTTCCCCCATTATCCGAAAGTAGAGCGTTCCTGTGAAACCTTTTGTAGACCTAAATGGCCTAAAGTGAAGAAGCCAATTACTTTAAGACGTGTCTTGCTAATGGATACAGAGAATAAATCTAGATAAATCAGATGCTTACAGATACAGGTCAGAGCTATGGTGACTTGATGCTGAGATGCTGAGTGTAGTTCCTGGGGAACCAGCGTGGGGGGTCCACTCTTGCTGCTCGCTCCTCAGGGTGCACGCTGCCTCTGCAACCACTGGCTGCAAAATAAATGCTGGCTGGTATTTTCGTTGTTCTCTTAAAAGCAAAAATCCTCTTCAGATTTCTTTCAGTTTGTGAAAATAGATACTAATGCAGGTTTTTCATAAAAGCGAAGTAGCATAAAGCAAAGTGCTTCCAAAATGCAGGGGATACCTGTACCATGAAATAGGTGTTATTATTGGCCTCATTTTGAGGAAATAAGAGGATCAGAGAGTTAGGGTACTTGCACAAGGGCATACAGCTGGTTAAGTGCGGGTTAAATGGATTATCTTTGTAAGCATTCCTCACAGTGCCCTGCATACAGTAAGCGCTCAGTATATGGTCATTATCATCATTTCCTATACAGGCGTGAGGGATCCCTCAGGTCTCCGGATGCCCTCCGGCCTGTGGCCATCCAACCTGCTAGCCACCACATCACATGAGCCTTACTATCTTTAGTCAGGGAGATATTTATATCCTCGGGAAGTTTTTTTCCGCCACAGGAGAACCCCAGAGTAGGTGGCCGCTGAATTCGGGCCCTCAGCGGTGGCCTCCGCCCCTTCGGCTCGCGATGCCGCGGGGTTCCGAGGCCCTGGTGCAGGTGTGGGTGGATGGCCAGCTTTTCCAGGAGGACCAGGCCCTGCTGGTGGAGCACTGCGGGTTTTTCCGCGGCCTCTTCCGCTCCGGCATGCGGGAAGCGCGCGCGGCCGAGGTACGCCTGGGCGCACTGAGTCCGGGGGGTTTCCGCACCACGCTGCAGGTGCTGCGCGGCCAGCGGCCCGCGCTGGCGGCCGCGGACGAGCTGCTGCAGACAGTGGAGTGCGCCGCCTTCCTGCAGGCGCCGGCGCTGGCGCGCTTCCTGGAGCACAGCCTCACGTCCGACAACTGCGCGTTGCTGTGCGACGCGGCCGCGGCTTTCGGCCTGCTCGACGTATTTCACAGCGCCGCGCTCTTCATCCGCGACGGCGCGCCCGAGCTGGCGGCCGAGCTGGCGCTGCCCGAGACCCGCGCCTACGTGGCGGCGCTGCGGCCCAGCAGCTACGTGGCCGTGAGCACGCACACGCCTGCGCCCGGCTTCTTGGAGGATGAGTCGCGCACGATGTGCTACCTGGATGAGGAGAAGGACACGTGGCACACGCTGGCCGCACTGCCCCTGGAGGCCAGCACGCTACTGGCAGGCGTGGCCACGCTGGGCAACAAGCTTTATATCGTGGGGGGCGTGCGGGGCGCCAGCAAGGAGGTGGTGGAACTGGGCTTCTGCTACGATCCGGACGGAGGCACGTGGTGCGAGTTCCCCAGCCCGCACCAGCCGCGATACGACACGGCTCTGGCCGGCTTCGACGGCTGCCTCTACGCTATCGGCGGCGAGTTCCAGAGGACGCCCATGAGCTCCGTGGAGCGCTACGACCCGGCCACGGGCTGCTGGAGCTTCGTGGCCGACCTGCCGCAGCCAGCTGCTGGCGTGCCCCGTGCCCAGGCGTGTGGTCGTCTCTTCGTGTGTCTGTGGCGGCCGGCGGACACCACGGCCGTGGTGGAGTACACGGTGCGGGCCGACGCGTGGCTGCCGGTGGCTGAGCTGCGGCGCCCACAGAGCTACGGCCACTGCATGGTGGCCCACCGCGACAGTCTCTATGTGGTGCGCAACGGACCGTCCGATGACTTCCTACACTGTGCCATCGACTGCCTCAACCTGGCCACGGGCCAGTGGACAGCTCTGCCCGGGCAGTTCGTCAACAGCAAGGGAGCGCTCTTCACGGCAGTGGTGCGCGGCGACACTGTCTACACCGTCAATCGCATGTTCACACTGCTCTATGCCATCGAGGGCAGCACATGGCGGCTGCTCAGGGAAAAGGCTGGCTTCCCACGGCCTGGCTCCTTGCAGACTGTTCTCCTGAGACTGCCTCCTGGCGCCCTGGGGCCTGTGGCCTTCACAACGCCTGAACTGTGACCTCTGGCCTGGGCTTTAAGAGGGGACAACCTGAGTCTTCCCTGAGCCATGGCTGAGTCTATGAAGTTGGCCTTAGGAGTGGCTGGGAGCTTTTTCTCTCCCTCGTGAGACATCTGGATCTTGTGTCTTCTGGTGGTGTGAACATGTCCTAGAAACTTGGACCAGTGATGATGCTGAGCTCTGAGCCCTCAAATTACTTGGGCTCTGCCTAGAGTTGGTGGGTCACAATGTCAGTGGAGAGGTTTGGGGGGTAGGATTTCAATATTCTAGGTTTGCGTGTGAATGGGCGAGTAATTGAGCATGGCTAGGAATGGGTTGAGTGATGTTAATCAAACTCCCAATTGGTAGGCAAGAATTAGTCACCTACTGTGTGCCCAGCACAGTACTAGCCCTAATGTGATTTGTAGTTGCCAGACAGGGGTCCACAAAGCTTAGAGTCTTAGAGTCTAACCCAGAAAAACTCAACCTTAACAGACAGTTATAGGACCACAAAAGATTTACACATACCTTGATCCAGAAAGGGTTGAAGGCAACATGCAAAAAACAATAAAAGTACTGAAGAAATCAAGGAAAAGGGAAAATAGGGAAAGTAAAAATACATAACTCCAGGAAGGAGAGTATACTAGTTATATGAAGAAGACAGGCAGAATAATTAGCTGCTGAAAGGGGAGGCTGACATGACTTTGAAAGAGATCAAAAGAGGAGAGATGGGAGAAGGCTGAAGCAGATGGGAAGAGTGTGAACCCAATCTTTAAGGCAGAGCAGCTGTGGGTGGAGGCATTTGGGGAGGGGGCAAGGTTGGGCTGGCTTGTAGAGACTAACTGAGCTGAACCTAGGGTGAGACCTGTGAGAGAGAGAGGGTTCCCATACCCCCTTATGAGGTGTGGACCTACAGGGGAGAACCCAGTTGTAAGCCCCTTGCCCACTTCCTTTTTTGCCATCCCCCTAGGGGCAATGGACTATTAACTTCCATGACTTAAGGTCACTCAAGGTATGAGCCAATCCTGGCTAGGTCTAACTGCCTCATCTTATCCTCCCCCCACCCCATTCTACAACTTAATTCTCCTCTAGTCTCTGCTCCTGCTATTCCCTAGGCCTGGAATGCCTTTCCTCTTCCTGTCTTTCTAGTGGCTCTGTACCCACCTCCTCTTTGCAGGGTTGGCTGTTCCCGACCTTGGCTGTGTGCATTGC